GGTGTTCTATTTAAAACATACAGTACGTATGGTCTCAATATTTCCATTGATTCCTACACCTGGAATGCTGTCCGTAGAATATTTCCTTTGCGTCGGCACACATGCACACACGCACTCATGAAGCGCAGAGAAGTGGTCGATGTTAGTATGGTTGTGCATCAGCGCTATGTTTAAGCTACCCCATAAAAATGAAAATGCAATTTGTGCTGTTTAACTTATGATCTAACCATTGTCTCGGAATTAGTGCTTACTTTTTGCACACGGGTTTATTTGTCCGGTGATACTCGTGGTCCCTGAAGGGGTTTTAGTGCATCACCTTGCTCAAAAACAAAATGCATTTGGTATAAGTGGTTAACGCATAAGATCTTTTAACTAACTGGATATGGTCGAGGGATGCTTGGCAAAGTTCAGCCCGACATGGAAGTACTTACATTTTAAAGTGTTTAGTCAAGTTAGTACTTCTACCCCACATACTTGCCAAAGTTCCATGCCTTTGTATTTATCTGGTATTTGTATTGCATCTTTTGATGTACGGAAACCTGCAGGCCTTTGAAAATGGGAAATTTCGGCGAACTAAAATCAATGGTTGAATTCCTTTTGTTCACGTTGACAATTGCATAATGCATTTTTTACCAGTCTATTAAGCTCTGTCAATGAATATGATATCTCACGTTTGTCTGTCTGTATGTGCATACTCTGGATGGTGGCTATCTTGCATCACATCTTGCCTCATCATAAAACTTCATCCGGGCAGTATATGCTCTTACGTTTCTTTTGATCCATGGCTCAGAATGGGATAGAACGTCAGGTTCAATAATGGTGATGGAATTTGTGTATTTGGAAAACACCGCGGCTAATATGCTATCATACTTGGAATCTACGCAATAACTCCAACTGATGTAAGCGAAAGGGTAAACATGTTAAGTGGAAAATCACGTGTATAGTGACAAAAGTTACCGGTGATGTTGCCAGCATTGGTCTTCAGCTTTTTTTGATTCGACTCTACAAATTCACACTTCTACTTGATTTTGCTCTGACAGTACGTGACAAATCATGAAGTCCGAATAGATTTACTTAAGCAGTGGGGGGAGATATGGAATTAAATCGAGCTTCAGTGCACACGAAGACAATGATTTTTTCGCCGTCCCTTGTCCATGTGTTCCGGGAATCTTTCTGTCGGTGGCTAACCGGGTGATCATCTATTTGTGTATGTTAATGCTGTTGTTGCAAACATTGCTCAGGTTAATATTTTTACAAGTTTTCATCAAACTTCATTCATCATTATCACGATCATCATCCATCGAAATTCAGTAGAGTAAACCTCGCTTATGGTTGCCAATCTCACAGTGCATTCAAAGTAGGTAATAATATATTGGGTGGCTAGGAAATGCGTCTTTTTTGAGGAAGCGGACAAGAAAATAAATCCTTGTTTTCAAAGCGTAAGGTACACCATCTCTCTATCCATACATGCCCTTTCAAGCATTATGGTCTAATAAATAAACGACGAGAAGAACGTCACTACTCTCGGTTCTCAAACATGTCCTCTAATTTTTTCAACTAACTCAGTATATAGTCTTTCGAATGCCGATTCGAAACACGGGAGACCTACCATACCTTATCTCTCGTTGCGTTAGTTTATGCTTCGATTCCACGTAATTTTCCTCACGCTATTGCAGACTGCGAATTGTGCGTGGTGTGCTAGACAATAGCTAGGCATACGTGGCATTTGTCCTAACCAATCAAACATGATAATCGGAATTAAGTTTGATCGTGAGTTGTTCACCGAATCCTTTCCAAACACTCAGTGACTGACCCTAATGCAAGCCACCGTAGTTGTGTTAATGTTCACTTCGCTCTGTTTGACCACATTCGCTTCTTGTGAAAATGATGAAACGCATATGGATTGACTTTCTGCTACCTGCTGCGTATAATCACTCAGAACCGAACGCCCACAATGCGTCCATTCGATTCGTATTGATTGACTCTAATTTCACGAATACTGTTTACTCAACTCGATCTCGTAGGCTAATCCCTCACAAATTGACTATATTTGCTGCTCACCTCTGTAGGCATTCCATCACGTTTGCATGATTTGACGTCAATAAACTTTGATATATTGATTGATCCACACTCATCATCACTGCATGTGTTTTACTAGTGCATCGAATAGTGCTGCTTCTAGTAGTTCCGATGGTGGTTTGGTTCAATTGACTTGTATCGTTTGGCTAAAGATTTCTTGTCACAGGTATGATTTACTCTGCTTTTTGGAAATATTTTTATTCCGCATTATTCTCCCGCTCAATTTACATTTTTTCCACACCAGGATTACACATTTAGCTCGCTTCTGGCGAAGTTTCTTCTCTACTCCACATCTTATAGTTCTCGTTAATTTGTGCCATCATCAGCATTGCTGACTCCGTCTAACTGTGATATACTCTTGACGAAGTTGACCGAAGATTGACCAGGATTCGCTTAATTGTTCTATCCCTATCAACTACTTTTAAACACTCACTGGCTAACAACAGTGATATTGTCCATCATGAAGGACAGTATGCTATACTTGATTTGGCTTTGGTTTTATTCGTCCGGTCCCACGATTAATTCTGTCGCAATTCACTGTAAACATTGAGTGTGGAGTGTTCCGTACACCTTGAACGATGTTTTATATCATTAACAATTAGTCTAGCCTCGTTCTAACTTTGCTAGGCAGTTCCAACTTGATTTTTTGATGCATGTAATTGAGTTTGTCAGACTCGTTTTTTTGTGCTGTTTAGACCAGGTCAGAATTCAGGAAACTGTCGGATATGTTGCCGCGACTTCGATAGAAACGTTGTTTTGACCCAAACATGTTTGCTATTTCGTGCTTTTTCATACTAACAAATTGATTAACTCAAATTAAGCTCACCTAATCCTTCTTTTCATGTACTGTTGTGCTGAAACTTTTATGCTGAGATTCTCTATTCGTTTGTGGAATCATTGATGCTACATTTTCTCTATTGGAACTGACCGACAGCAACGTCTATTTTTTCGAATGGATGGAGTTTATCCAAAATGCACATGATTAATTAGAAAGCTTTCGGTCTGCGCGCCGGATCTGAATGATGCCATAATGCAAGATATCGGCTACTCTCCGCTTTGAAGCACTTCGATCAGAAGTTGACTGTGTTCTATTTCTTCTACCCTGGTCGTTGTGGGACACTTAA